ATGTCCGTCAATACGGGTGTCGAGTGAGGGGGGCGCACGGTCATTCACTGTCCCTGGGCGCGTTGCGTAATTGAGATTATGCGGTGCGGATTGTTGTTGATGTTGATGAACACGTGCGCTGACGACCCGTACCCCCCCCACACACACACCAACACCAATACCCCAACAGCCCCGTGGGGGCCCCTGCGGTGGCCCCACGGGGCTGTTGGGGTGTTGGTGTTGGTGTCATATACGATTCCATAGGGGTCCTATTGGATAGTTGGGACTTTGTACGACTCCATCGGGAACCTACACGATGAGTTAGGACTATTACAGACATGCCATTATGGATCCTATAGGATTCCATGGGGATCGTGTAGGATCGGGGCCATAGGGATCCGTTGCACATTTCTATCGGATCGCTGAAAATCCTCATCTGATCCCCATGGAACCTTATAGAGGGCCTACAGGATCCCTATGGCATCCTAGAAGATCCCACACAGGAGATCTCCAGGAGTCCCATATGGTCCTTATGGAATCGTATAGGTTCTCTAGGGGATCCCACAGGACCCGCATGGGATCCTGTAGGACCCCTATAGGATCCCTGTGGAATCCTACAGGATCCGTATGGGATCATGTAGAAATCCCAATGGAATGCGATGGGATCCCGATGGAATCTTATAGGAGTCCTATCGGATCCCTATGGTGGCCGTGGCTCTGAACACATCCTTAAGCATTTCCCCGTGGGAATCCTTTGAGGATCCTCAGGGATCCTTGGGGAATCATAAGGAATCCTTCGGGAATCCTGAGGAATCCTGAGGGGATCCACCTCTCTCCAGCATCGTTGCCCTGGCCCCACAGGGAGCACCACCGAAGTTTGATTTCGGCACACCCCTCTCGAGGATCGCGGCCCTGGCCCCGCATGGAACTCCACCGAAGCGTCATTACGGCACACCTCTCTCGAGGATCGCGGCCCTGGCCCCACAGGGAGCTCCACCGAAGCGTCATTACGGCACACCCCTCTCGAGGATCGCGGCCCTGGTCCCACAGGGAGCTCCACCGAAACTTCATTTCGGCACACCCCTCTCCAGGATCGTGGCCCTGGCCCCACAGCGAGCTCCACCGAAGCTTGATTTCGGCACGACCCTCTCGAGGATCGTGGCCCTGGCCTCACCACCGAAGCTTGATTTCGGCACACCCCTCTCGAAGATCGTGGCACTGGCCCCACAGGGAGCTCAACCAAAGCCTCATTCGGCACACCCCTCTCGAGGACCGTGGTCCTGGCACCACAAGAAGGTCCACCGAAACTTCATTTCGGCACCGGAGCAGCAGAAGGAGGAGGAGGAGGAGGAAAAGCAGGAGGAGAAACAGGAGGAGGAGGAGGAAAAGGTGGGCGGAGGGAGGAGGAGGAGGGTGAGGAGGAGGAGGAGGAGGAGGAGGAGGACGATCAGGAGGAGGAGGATGAGGAGGAAGAGGACCAGGAGCAGGAGCGGAGGAAGGAGGAGGCGGAGGAGCAGCAGGAGCACGAGGAGGATGGGGAACAGCAGCAGCAGCAGGATGAGGAGGAGGAATAGGAGGAACCCAATGACGATGGGGAGCAGCAACAGGAAGAGGAGGAGGATGTGGGGCAACAGAAGGAGGAGGAGGAGGAGGAGGAGGAGGAGGAGGAGGAGGAGGAGGAGGAGGAGCAGGAGAGGGAGGCGGAGGAGGAGGAGGCGGGGGCTACTGTTACTGCTACTGCTCCTGCTACTACGACCACTACTACTCTAATACGATTACTACTGTTACTGTTACTACTACTACTACTACTACTACTACTACTACTACTACTACTACTACGACTACGACTACGCTACTACTACTACTACTACTACTACTACTACTACTACTACTACTACTACTACTACTACTACTACTACTACTACTACTACTACTACTACTACTACTATTAATATTACTATTACTAGTACTAGTTCTACTTTTACTACTATTACTACTACCACCACTACTTTTACTACTACTTTTACTACTAACTACTACTACTACTACAACTACTACTACGACGACTACTACGACTACTACGACTACTACTACTACTACTACTACTACTACTACTACTTCTACTACTACTTACTACGACTACTACTACTACTACGACTACTACTACTACTACTACTACTACTACTTACTACTGCTACTACTATTGCTACTACTACTACTACTACTACTACTACTACTACTACTACTACTACTACTACTACTTACTACTTCTACTACTGCGATTACGACTACGACTACGACTACTACTACTACTACTACTATACTACTACTTACTACTATTACTAGTAGTAATAGTAGTAGTAGTAGTAGTAGTAGTACTAGTACTACTATTACCTTTACCGTTCTAGTACTGTTATTACTACCACTACTACTACTACTAGTAGTAGTACTACTACTACTACTACTACTATTACTACTACTATCACAACCACTACTACTGATACCATTTCTATTACTTCTGCTACTACGACTGCTACTACTACTACTACTACTACTACTACTACGGCTACTACGACTACTACTACTACTACTACTACTACTACTACTTCTTCTAGTACTAGTACTACTACTACTACTACTACTAGTACTAGTACTAGTACTACTACTACTACTTCTACTACTACTACTACTACTACTACTATTACTAGTAGTAGTAGTAGTAGTAGTACTACTAGTAGTACTATTACCTTTACCGTTCTAGTACTGTTATTACTACCACTACTACTACTAGTACTGTTAGTACTATTACTACCTTTACTGTTCTAGTACTGTTACTACTACTTCTACTGCTACGACTGCAGGCAGGCCGTGCAGGCTTTGTATAGGATCCCATTCAGGGCCTGTAGGCACTGTATTCGATCGCGCACAGGCCGTGTAGGCTCTGTATAGGATCCCAGGCAGGCCGTGCATGCTCTGTATAGGATCCCATGCGTGCCGTGTAGGCTGTGTATAGGATCCTATACAGGGCGTGCAGGCTGGGTATAGGATCCCACACAGGCAGTGTAGGCTCTGTATAGGATCCCATACAGGGCGTGCAGGCTCTGCGTTGGATCCCACACAGGCCGTGCAGGCTCTATATAGGATCCCACACAAGCCGTGCAGGCTCCGTATAGGATCCCAAGCAGGCCGTGCAGGCTCTGTCTAGACCCCAAGCTAGCCGTGTAGGCTTTGTATAGGATCCCATGCAAGCCGTGTAGGTTCTGTATCGGATCCCACACCAGCCGTGTAGGCTCTGTATAGGATCCCGTACAGGCCGCGTAGGCTTTGTAGAGGATCCCAGATAGGGGGTGTAGGCTCTGTAAGTGTAGGATCCCGTACACGCCGTGTAGGCTCCGTATAGGATCCCGTACAGGCCGTGTAAGCTTTGTACTGGATCCCACACAGGGCGCGCACGCTCTGCATTGGATCCCGTACAGGCCGTGTAGGCTCTGTATAGGATCCCAGGCAGGCCGTTGAGGCTGTGTATATGATTCCACACAAGGCGTGTAGGCTTTATATAGGATGCCGTACAAGGGCGCGTAGGCTCCTATAGGATCCTACACACGCCGCGTAGGCTTTGTATAGGACCCCATAAAGGGCGTGCAGTCTCTGTGTAGGATCCAACGCATGCCGTGTAGGCTCTGTATAGGATCCCACACAGGGCGTGTAGGCCGCGTATAGGATCCCATACGGGGCGTGTGGGTTGTGTATAGAGGATCACAAACAAGCCGTGTAGACTCTCTATACGGCCCCATACAGGCCGTGTAGGCTCTGTATAGGATCCCATACCGGGCGTGTGGGCTCTGTATAGGATCCCACACAGAGCGTGCAGGCTCTGTATAGAATCCCAAGCTGGCCGTGCAGGCTCTGTATAGGCTTCCAGGCAGGCCGTGCATGCTCTGTATAGGATCCCAAACAGGGCGTGCAGGCTCTGCGTAGGATCCCAAACAGGCCGTGTGGGCGCTGTATAGGATCCCATGCAGGCCGTGTAGGTTTCGTATAGGATCCCATACAGGCCGTGTAGGCTATGCGTAGGATCCCAAACAGGCCGTGTAGGTTTTGTATAGGATCCCGTGCAGGCCGTGTAGGCTCTGTATGGGATCCCACACAGAGCGTGTAGGCTCTGCATAGGATCCCATACAGGGCGTGTTGGCTCTGTATAGGTTCCCGCACAGGCCGTGTAGGCTCTGTATAGGATTCCATACAGGGCGTGTAGGCTCTGTATAGGATCCTAGGAATCCCAATGGTTTGGTATTCCTAGGATCCAGCATGGATTCCGAAGGACGCCCGAAGGTCGCTTCGCCGGTGCGCACATCGTTTCCAGTCGCAGGAATACGTGGAGGTGCGTAAGGGTGGTCTCAGAGCTAGGGATTCGATGGGACTGGTGTTGGTGTTGGTGTTGGTGTTGGTGTTGGTGTTGGTGTTCGGGGGGTGGTGGTAGTGGGTCCACGGATAGTCATTCCTCGTGTTCGCCCAGTGGGTGAAGGCGTGGGCTGTCGGGCCGTGGACGGGTGGGCAGTGCACGTGTCGACCTTGATTTTGTTGTTGTTTTAGTTGTTGTTGCTGCTGTTGTTGCTGTTGTTGAATTTTTACTACTGAAGTATAATTGTTGTTGATCCCCCATGCCCCCCCTCTGGTGACCGTTTTATTTATTCAATTGAAGTGTTTCCCCCAGGGCTCGTACCCGTTTTTTCCGGGAGAAACACTAGGCTCAAATTGGGCCCCCGGTTTACAGCGACAGCGGCCCCCTTTTGATATGATACTTCCTCACAATGTATTGCCAAATCGCGCTCTCGCGCGGGATATCCTCATAATTTGTATACGAATCGCGCTCCCGCGTGGGACTTCCTCGCAATTTATTCAAACGATGCGGCCTCGGCGCTCAGGAATCACGCTCTCGCGATGGCTGCTCTTATGATTTACTTGGGAATCACGCTATCGATCGAGACGTCCTTGCGATTCATTCAGGAGCATTGCTTCAGCAACCCGTCTGCTCGACCTGTTCGCCTGGGCCCGCCTTCCCGACCTGCCCGCCGTTGGTCTGCCCACCCGATTTGCCCGTCTGGTTATACCACGTGTTTTCTGCTCCTCGCCCCCCTCCTTCTGATTTCTCTCGTGCTCCATTTTTCTCCATCCCCTTTCCACGCGTCTTCTCTTCCCGTGTTTTAGGGAAGATGCGCGTTGCAGGTAAGGAAGATGTGCCCCCAAAGGGGCACGATCGAAGACGACGAGGGTGGGTACCGAGGGCTTGGGATATACGTTTTGATTGGCAACAACATCAACATAACCAACTACAGCAACAGCATATGGGAACGAACAGTCTTCAAATGATCGTTGCTCTTGTTGATATTGTTGGTTTTTGTCGTCGTCCGGTCCCGCGACCCGGCCCGCGACCCACACGTGAACCACCCGCGACCAACCCGCGACCCACCCGCGACCCACCCCGCGACCCACCCGCGACCCACCTGCGACTGGGCCGCGACCCGCCCGCGACCCACCCGCGACCCACCCCCGACACACCCGCGACGAACCCGCGACCCACCCGCGACCCACCGGCGACCCACCCGCGACCCGGCCCGCGACCCACCCGCGACCCACCCTTGACCCATCCGCGACCCACCCCGCGACCCGCCTACATTGCTCTAGTGAAAAATTTGCGCGGGCGGCGGGCTCACTGCATAATTTGTAAAACGTAGGCGCCAGCGTCGGGCTTCTTCAGAGCATCGCTGGCTGCCAACGTTCTCGCCGCCCCTTCATACTTATTTGCCACTGCGGGGTAAATTCGTGTCCACTATTCCTGAGTTCTAAAGACGTATCCCGGTCATTGATGGGACCCCGGTCCGTCAATAATGCTGCCCAACGTATAATTTGTTTCCACAGTTGGGGGTTCTAGAGACTTGGACGCGCTATAGACTGGTTGCCACCGAGCATGTGTCGATGAGGGATCCAGGCAGAGGCCGGCGCATGCAGGAAGAGAAAGCGGCCGATGCTGGGCACGCGAAAGAACGCGCGAGGATACGGTACGCATGCAGGGCAGGCGTTGCCAGCAGGAACAGCCAGGAGACAATGTGGTTGATGGCGTCGCACACACACACTCTCTCTCTCTCACGCACACACACAACACGCACACACAAACACACACACACACACACACACACAAACACACACACACACACGCCGTGCGCTGTCGGCCTCGGGGCCCGGCGGGATCCTCCACCGCGCAGCAGCTCGCCTCCGAGGAGCGGCCGCTGTCGCGGGCGCCGCCGCCGCCAGCTCCGACGCTGCCGCTGCCGCCGACGGTCGCTGCCCCCGCCGCCGCAGCCAACGCCGCCGCTGCCGACGCCGCCGCTACCGACGCAGCCGCCGACGTCGTTGACGCCGACGCCGCCGCCATCGCCGCCGTCGCCGCCGCCATCCCTCCGTCGCTGCCGGACTTGCAGCTGCCGCCGATGCCGACGCAGCGCCTCGCCCCAGCCCGCCCAGGCCTCCCTGCGTCGCGAGAGAGGATCGCATGACGGGTGCCTGTGTGTTCTGCTTGTGACGCGCGTGCGGATTGCCTCTGCCGCGCTGCGACGTAACACAGTAGCCTGACGAAGGACCCAACCATTTGCTGCTGCGAGTGCCGCGAGGGAGATGAGAGTAAGGAGGGGGGCGCGCGTGTGAGTGGTGTGCCGACATGGGCGGCGCGGACGCATGTGGACGCAGCCATTAGGGCCTTCGGTGGAGCTCCCTATTGGGGCCACGAAACGTGCGAGGGGTGTGCCGAAATGGGCGCGGGACGCATGTGGACGCAGCCACTGGGGCCTTCGGTGCAGCTCCCTATGGGGCCACGAAGCGTGTGAGGGGTGTGCCGACAGTGGATCTAGATGCGGAGAGCAGGAGCAGGGATGGAAGGAGGGAGGAGGTCGGTCGGACTCGGCATTGCACCAGTCTGCGCGCCGTTCTGCTGATGGGCTCACACCCCGTGAGCCAGGGGCAACGTAACTCTTATTCCGCACGCCATCCCCTCAAAACGAGGAGGGGCACCCAGCCCTGAGCCTGAGCTTGCCATGGGGCACCAGGCCCGCCCGGCACAGACCAGGAGCAGGGGCGGCGGCGGGAGGGAGGAGGGAGGAGGGAGAGGAGGAGTGAGGAACGTGGGGCGCTGTCTCTTCAAAACGAGGACCCAGCAACACAGGATGGTTGGGAAATACTTTAAACGTGTGCTCTGCCTGCTGCTTGGGCATCCGGGGTTCGGTTCGCTTGCGTGCCCCCTGTGGCCCCTCGCCCCGGGCATAGGGTCCTCAGCTCCGGAGGCCGCAGTCGGACCTTTCGCACCGCGCCAGACGCGCCGCACCCTCGCTCCGCTCGCTGCGGAAGGGCGTAGGCCCTTCCTTGGATTGCACTTGCCAGAGCCGCGTGAGGAAGACAGCCATGGAGGATGAAAGGGCCCTTAACCCTAATAGCGCGATGAAGACGTGGCCTCACGAAGGTCCCCGTCTTCGCTAAAGGGATAACAGGTCTGGGCAATTTGGTTTGATACATCTGCAGAAAAGACTCCCCATCCCCAGTGTTCCAGGCCCTCCTATCTTAGGTCCGCTCCCAAAGAATTAGGGGTCCTTTTATGCCTAATCAGACAGCGCGCCAACGTGGACTTCAGACAGTGGCCGCCTAGGTGCAAGCGCTGTTGGGGGAACAGGGAGAAGCCGTCGTCGTCGTCTTCGTCATGCCTGCCTCCCTTCCTCCTTCCTCCCTCGCATATTAACAGCAGGAGGGACGGGGCCTGGGAATGATGGGCCGCAGGGCGCATATAGAGAAAGCGGACGATGAGAGCCGTCTCCATCCCAACAGATAGGGTGTATTAGACTTTGAAGGAAAAGCCCGCCCACCAGCCCCTGTGTTGGCACCGAGCATTGCTCCGGACGTTCCGGATATGGTCTGGACAACCCGGTTGTTCCGGACATTCCGGACATGTTCGGGACTCTCTGGCGACCGCGGTGTGCAGGGTTGGTCCAGCCCTGCACACGCGGTCGCCAGAGAGTCCCAGGTGTTCCCCGGGCCTCCCGCCTCGCCCAAGCCTCACTAGCGAGGCGGCACGGCGGCACGCCTCCCAGGCGCCATGACGTCGCGCCGTCCGCGCACATCTAGAACAGGCATCGGTAACCGATCTGTGAAGGACGGACGTCAAGCCAGACACTCAGAACGTCCATCCAGGACATGCGTCAAGAACCTGCAACAATAACATGCCAAATTGCACGCACCACTAACACACTCCAAAACGCACGGAGCAAGCACAGACATTTTTTTCCGGCGTGAATCACATAATTCACACAATTCGGGAACATGCACTTACCCTTGCTATCGTCAAGAACATGCACCGACCACATAATACAATGTACGCCAATACCAGACTTCAACATCTTGCATCAAGCACAGCCCTCCATCACAGACGTCAGAACGATACTGCAATAACGAACATGAGGAACACACATCACTAGCATACATCAAACCAGATGATAATCCCATACAGGAGCAGCTTGCGCCAAAACTCGATATCAAGACAACGGGCTCATGAACGACCTCATGAACTCAAGCTCACGCACATGTTAACACACCAGTGCAAGACACAAATGGCATACGCCAATCACATACGCCTAACATGCGTGAACAGTCCAACACCGAAACGAGTCAACAATAGCATGCGGTCTGGACAGACATGGAGCACGGACATCAATAGTCCACACCAGTACCAGGCAGCAAACATTTCAGCCAACATCATGCTTCAGGCAGACACATCAACCGCAGACACCAATATCACGCATCAAGGACAGGCATCGAGGGCTGAACTCGGCATGGTCAGCGGGCCAACGCGCTCACAGGAATGGAGCAGCAGCGCACTTCGTTCTGACAGTTGCGAGGGTCGGCGCCCGCCGCGGGGAAGCCCGACTTGCCAAAACGGCTCCCCCTCAGCGCGGGAGTCGCCATTGTGGAGCACGGTCTGAAATTGGTGATTTCCGTGTTGCGCCGCCAGTTCCAGTCCACCACGCTTCGGCGCGACACGCTCATCACGTCCCAGTACCCAGGCATCAACGCCCCGGGCTTTGCTCAGCCTCCCGACCCCCGGAGCGAGTGACACGTTACCAGGTTGCAGGAGACGCCGCCGCAACACGCTAAGTAAATTATTGACCGCAATGTGGAGTTGCCACAGTAGAGCTGCAATTGCCAATGTGATGTGGAGTTGCCCGCCACGGCTACAGTCAAGACCTGGATAAATGAACAGTCCAGGTTCGGAAGAAGCTCGATGTTCTTTAGGTCCTTCCATGGTTGCTCCTCCAGCGCTCCTCGTGCACCGAGGCGATGTTGGGGACAACGAGGGGCTGCGTCTTCTTTGTCTCCCTGGAGGTCGCGGATTGACTGTATTACGTAGTGCGGAGTTGCCATTGTGGCTCACGCCTCGCTGGCCATAGTGTTTTTGCTGCCACTTGCATCACGGTATTTCCATTATTTCCATGAGGGGGCATGGGCCAGTATCCCCCGTGGCCTTCGTATTGTTCATATCATTCGAGTCATGTGTTGCGCTGTTGGCGCAGTCCGACAGGCCGGTCCACGGGCGTCATCCCGGGCACCCGGTGCCAGAGCCGTCTGGACAGCATCACGCGAGCCCGGTAAGCAAGAAGAAGGCGGAAGAGATGCGCTTGAACGACAGACATTACGCAAAGCTTTGTGTGAACCCAGCTCAGCACCACTCTTCCTCGGATAATGTCACCCGTTTTGACGGACCTCCACGCGTGCTCTGGCAAACAGAGAAGCAGATTGAAAAGGAGCTGCCCGATGTTGTCAACAGCATGCGGAAAAAATGGGTTGACTTGAACAAGGATATAGAGATGAAGTATATGGACGATGGGGAAGCCTTGGCGTTTGTCGAAGCCAATTTCGATAAGTCTGTACTTGATGCGTTCAAGGGTTTTCCATTGGGAGTGATGAGGGCAGACTTTTGGAGGTATTTGGTTGTCTACACTTATGGTGGCGTGTACGCCGACGTTGATGTGGAACCGTCAGAAGCAATTCGCGGGTGGCTCGATGAAGAAGAGAATTGGCAGCATTGCTCAATGGTGGTGGGACAAGAGAATGGGGTGGACATATCCCAATGGACTTTCGCTGCAACACCGAAGCACCCAGCACTCAAGGCAGTAATTGATTTGATTGTCAAGCGGTACCAAGGCGGAATCAAAACAAACTTTACGCATTTTGTTCATTACCACACAGGGCCCGCCGTGTTCACATCTGGCATCCATATGTACGCAAGTCGGACCAGCACCTCGTGCGAGACGGGGCCCGGGCAGTCTTGGGTGACATCGGGCACGCAGATTTGTATTCTTCCGCAGGCCAAGTTCTTCAATGTGGTCACAAATCACTACGGGAGCAAAAATGAAAACTTCACAAACGTCTTAGGATCTTGGACAGCCGAACGTGATCAGATAGTCGTCGATTCCAAGAAGAGAGTAGCGGAGCATTACCCATCAGATGTTCCGTGCAGGTGCGCAGCTACCCCATGAACGTTCGTTTGTTATCGGCGATTCTGTTCAGACCAGCGAAAGATCAATTGCATGCATTGGAAAACTCATCTTCCTCGTCGTGATCACGGCGACCATGTCTGGTCGGATTTTCCAGAAAGGATTGCGGCCCAGTGTTTTTTGTGTGTTGTTGGGCCGTTCGTGCGTATTCCCACGCGGCAGCCAAAGTGTGTTTTCATTCGAGTATGCGAACGTGAAGAGGTGGGTCTAAATGTATGTCGTCCATGTGCGTGTGGCATTCGCGGTTTCGTGCAATGGTTGGGGTGGGCAATTAGTTGCCCGGGGTGTGTCAGTCATTTGGTTGTCTTGTTTCGTAGACGCGCATGAATGTTCAATTCAGGTGAACCCCAGCAGGTGTTGTGCCGTTGCGGTTACGTTGAAATCAGACGCATGAGATCTCCATGCTTTGCAGTTTTGATCATCTTGGTAGGCCTCTGGCCTCAAGTTCTCTGCCCTCCTGGCCTTTGGCCCACCCCAGAGGAGTGAGAAGCAGTAGTCGCCAGCTTCGCTACACGTAGAAATCCATACGCGACCAGAGCATTTGGCATGCATCAAGAACGTGCGCATGTGGCACGCGCTTTCACGCGCGTCGGAGTTAATGGGGTATGGAAAATGCCCTGGGCACGTGTTAAACATATGATGTGCTTTCTCGAGGGCGTCGAACATTGGCACGTACGGTCATGATTACCTTTCGGGTCTGTCCTGAGATTTCCGCTGCCTGTCGGGTTTTTGGTCTCGGGTCGAGGGTTTGGGGGCAGCAGCCGTCGCATGTTGTCGCATGTTGCATGTGAGCAGTCCGTTCGCGAAGGAAATTCTTTACGCTTCGCGTATCCCCACCAGCCCATCTCACAGCAGCAACTCTTGCGAAGCATGCCGACAATCGTGTTTTTCAGGCGTGTGTCCGCTTGGCCCTGCATATCTCCCCTGTTCCTCCTTCCTCCCGCCTCCTTGTACATCCTCCTTGTGGGGGGAGCGGGAGAAGGACGAGGCGGAGGAGGAGGGAGGGAAAGCGCTCCTCGTGATTTGAGTCGTTTGGGGTTTCTCGTCCTGGTGTGAGTCGTTCGGGCCCTTCTTCCTGGTGTGAGTCGTTCGGGCTCTTCGTGGTGTGAGTCGTTCGGGCTCTTCGTCCTGGTGTGAGTCGTTCGGGCTTCTCGTGGTGTGAGTTGTTCGGGCCCCTCATCCTGGTGTGAGTCGTTCGGGCCCCTCCTCCTGGTGTGACTCGTTCGGGCTCCTCGTGGTGTGAGTCGTTCGGGGCCCGCGTCGTGGTGTGAGTCGTTCGGGCTCCTCGTGGTGTGAGTCGTTCGGGCGCCTCGTCCTGGTGTGAGTCGTTCGGGCCCCTCCTTGTGGTGTGAGTCGTTCGGGCTCTTCGTGGTGTGAGTCGTTCGGGCCCCTCGTCCTGGTGTGAGTCGTTCGGGCTCCTCGTGGGGCCTCTTGGGGGCCTCTTGGAGCCTCTTGGGGCCTCTTGGGGGCCTCTTGGGGGCCTCTTGGGAGCCTCTTGGGGGCCTCTTGGGGGCTCTTGGGGCCTTCTGGAGCCATCTTGGAGGCCTCTGGGGGACCTCTTGGGGCCTCTTGGGGGCCTCTTGGGGGCCTCCTGGAGGCCTCTTGGGAGCCTCCTGGGTGCCTCTTGGGGCTATCTTGGGGCCTCTTGCGACCTCCTCAGAAGCGCTAATAAGCGCTGACCCCTGAGAAGGACAAAATGAGCCCAAAACCTTCGTAAAATCAATGATTTTGCTAAGACTCCTCGTGGGGCCTCTTGGGGGCCTCTTGGAGCCTCTTGGGGCCTCTTGGGGGCCTCTTGGGGGCCTCTTGGGAGCCTCTTGGGGGCCTCTTGGGGCCTCTTGAGGCCTTCTGGAGCCATCTTGGAGGCCTCTGGGGGACCTCTTGGGGCCTCTTGGGGGCCTCTTGGGGGCCTCCTGGAGGCCTCTTGGGAGCCTCCTGGGTGCCTCTTGGGGCTATCTTGGGGCCTCTTGCGACCTCCTCAGAAGCGCTAATAAGCGCTGACCCCTGAGAAGGACAAACTGAGCCCAAAACCTTCGTAAAAACAATGATTTTGCTAAGACGGATGAGAAACGCGGCCCCCTCAGAAGGCCAGAATGGGGCCAAAACCGTAGTAAAATCAATGTTTTTTACTTCAGCGACGAGTTCAGGCGCCAAACTCCCTCCCCCCCTCGGGGCCAGAATCCTCGTGAGGGTCGTCGTTTTTTGGCCCTCCCAGGAGTCGAAACAGACTCCCCTGACGACCCGCGGCCCGCCCTCTCCAGGCCCAGGGGGAGGGGGCAGGGGGAGGGGTAAACCCCTCCCCGAAGGGGAAGAAGGGGGTTGAGGACAGAGAGAGCTCCCTAAACCACTCACGCCCAAAGGGCTGGTGGGATTCTGGAGCGGTGGCCAGAGAGGCACGGAGGGAGCTATGTGCGGTGTCCGATGTTCTTCTTGTTGTTTGCCTTTGTTGATCCCAGAAGGTTCTCGGAGGCTAGATGGCGGTAGTGATGGCGACGACGAGCATCGTGACGGTCAGGCGGAGCGCACGGACCGGCTTGCTTCCCCTAGTTCAGCACACCGCACAGCAAAGCACACCATGACACGTAACATTGCTGTAGTTTCGTACGACAGCGTTTTGCGGAAGTGACGAAGTAAAGCAGATTCAAATTCTAGACGATTAGCGTAACCCCACCAGCCTTTCTAATTTGTTTGCAGGTGCATTCTGCGCGGTCTCGCGCCAATTATCTGCCGCTGTGCCCCAGCCTCGGTCATACCGCCCTCTGGACTTCTCCTTGCGGGCCGCGAATCAAAAACGTAACCCCACCAGCCCCTGCCCGCCGCCTGCCTCGTCGCTGGCGGCCGCGACCGAAAAACATAACCCCACCAGCCCATTCAAAAACGATGCCCGGGCGAGTTACCCGAATCAGGGATGTGGATGAGCACGCAGTGGAATAAGGGGCAAAGGGTTGGGAAGTTGTCAAACCCAAGCAGGGGGACGATGGAGGAGGAATCCGAGGAGAAGGAGGAGGAGGAGGGCGTCGAGGGGAGAAGGGGGGAAGGACGGAGGAGGGACGAGGAAGAATAGGCGGAGGAGGAGGAGGAGGACGAGGGCGAGCAGAAAGGCCAGAGGCCTTTTGGATGCTTCTCGGGTTCTCTTCGGATGTCTCTTGAGAGATTCTTGGGGTCCTCTTGGGGCGTTTTGCGAGCCTCTTAGCGGCCCTGGGGGCCTCTTGGAGCGTCTCGGGTGTCTTGGGGGAGACTCTTGGGGCCTCTTGGGTTTCTTGGGGGCCTCTTGGAGGCCTCTTGCGTGCCTCTTGGGGCCTGAGCGCCTCCTGGGGCCCTCCTGGGGTCCTTCTGGGAGCCTATGGGGGTCATCCTGGGCCATCTTAGAGGAGATCCATCAAAGGAGGGGGGGTACTTCCTTAGCCGCCGCCCCCCCCCAGGAGGCAAAAAAACCATCGTGCAATTGATCATGTGTGCCTTCTCGCCGAGGCCGTCTTGGACGATCTCATCGAACGCGACACCCCCCCCGTCCAGGTCCAGGGGGAGGGGGGAAGGGGGGTCAAGCTACCCTCCTAGACAGCAGGCCGTCTAGCTCACCCCCACCCGCTCTCCCAACGCAGAAGTAATACCCGAGTGTCAGCAGATCGCTTAAGAACGCCACACACGCCATGTGCGCCATGGTTTCCAGGTGCACCAGGCACCCTGGAGGCTCAAGCGTGCCAGGTGCGGCGCATGCTCCACTTGCGCCGACTGTGCCATGTGCTCCAGTCGCGCCAGGTGTGCCAGCTACGGGGAACCAATAGGGACCCCAGGTGCCTGGGGCCCTGGCCCCAAGGAGTTCCTGATCTTGAGTCCCCCTCAAGCAACGTGCCGACCATTATGTGAGAAGGGCGGCTCTTCCAGGCAGCGCAAAGCACCGTCACCGATGGACGACTTGTCACATCTTGAGGAGTTCTGAAACAGATGCGAGCTCAGAGAAAAGAGGGCCCCGCGCATGCTCTAGATTTGGTGCCAAAGTGTGTTTTTGGTTCGATTGACAGGGAAGCTTGGCCTGCGCGCAGCAAGCAATATGCCAGCACCCCCACCGTCCCTGTCAACAGTCCATGCAATGTGGTCGCGGGGCGCCCGCGCATGCTCCCGATTTGTAAAGCAAAGTGCTTTTAATATTGTTGTTAGAACGGGTGATGGGGGGGCTCATTTGTCCGGGTTGGCTGCCAGTCGCCTGGGGGAGGGGGTGTTCAGTAATAGGGAACAGTGGTGAACCTTTTTCCGACTGGGACAAACGGAGGGTTGGAAGAGGAAACGCTCTAAATAACTCACGCTTTAGAGGCGACGCGCCCGCTGCATCAGCTCTGACCTCGTATACCCAACGTGCTGAAGAAACAGTGCGAAGGCTTTTGCAGTTTTCGGCCTCCATTGGCCCTCGCCAGACCCTGGGGCCGTTAAAGGCAACTCAGGATGAACCTGAGCCTGCGGATAGGTCCGGGACTTCCGTGGACACCCTATTGGAAGATCGAGAAGTCGGATCTACAGGAAACGAGCGTGGCACAAGAATCGCAGCCCGCGTGGGGACGATCTGCACAGCCCGCTTTCCTCGGCTCGCAATGAATGCCCGCACTGCCCACTGGCCAAACAAGCATGAAGAGCAGTAGGCAAGAGGCTCCAAGGGAGGGCCTCGTTCTCGAGGCATCGTGCCACATACGCAAAGGCGCGCTGATTGCATCAGCTCCAAAACGAGTCTGGCGTGCCAATAGCAGTGTGTAGCGCGCTCTACTGGGGGCCTCGACTTCAAGGGGTCAGAGGGTTGGCCCCACGCCCTCGGCAGAGGCCGGCGGAAGCAAGACGGCGGATGTGCTCCGACCCGCTGCTCCCTTCCACCCCGCGAGGACGGCACGCCTGTGGCGCCGAATGGGGACCGCGGCATCCTCACCATCACGTACGGGACAGGGAAGCTGTCCGGGGAGTACATGAGGGACGAGGTCTGCCTAGGCGACCCGGACAACGAAAGGCAGAGGAGTGCCACCTGAGGCAAGGGTAGGTGACTTTCGGGGGGGCCCCCGTCGCCACGGCTGAACGCGGCTCGGAAAGTTGGTGCGTGTGGGAGCCAGGAGGTGCCCGGGAAGCGGTTTTGAGCTGCCACTGTATCAACTCGCCCTGCTCCGAGAGGAGCTCGAGCTGGCCGAAACGAGAAGGAGGAGGAGGAGGCGTCGCAGTGGACGTGGGCAGGAAGACGAGGAAAACGAGGAGGCGGGAGGTAGAGCTTGGATGTGCAGGCATTTGTTTGGAACCATTGTGGTTCTTCACATCAACAACATCATCGTCGCACTTGAGCTCGCCCGCGGCACTGAACGCGTTCAGGTATTATGTCATCCCACTTGTGGATTGCAAGTGCTTCCAGGGCGTGGAAAACAGAGGCCATCGAGTAGCATGTGGTTGGTGCATGTCTTATTTATCAGGAAGAGCACGTCTCACGTCCCAGCGCAAGCCATGGGCCACTCGGGAATCGCTGTAGAAATGCGTCCAGTTGTGTTCTAATAGAGGCGAGAAGTACTCCATAAGCTCGAGCTGGTCGCCCTACACAAGCAGGTATCGTTCCAAGAGGCCAAGGCAACGAATATGTGGACGGGATTACCATCAGTATCAGCGCCACGTTACACAAAGCAGCAGCTCAAGAACACCCACTGGCATATTGAAGAGAGCAAAGCGCACGCTGGAGAGCCTCGCGCGCTATGGGTACGGAGGGGAGACTGTAGGGAACGGCACGGGGAGCACAACACCATTGGCATGAGCATCCGCACCAAGACCATCAGACAGATCTGCGACACACAGCACGCCAACTCTTGACGGACGTACAGGTTCGAAGACGCGCAGAAACAACTTAAGCTTGAGGGGCCCTGACAAAGGAGATTGGCAGCGGTCGCAAGACGAGCGGCATCAGCTAAGGCATGAGCGTGCAGGTTGGGGACGGAACCATATCAGGGATGAACACACATACACACACACACATATATATATATATATGTATGTATACAGATGACCCCTTTCTCGGTCTAGCAGGCCAGGCGGGAGATGAGCGAGAAGGTAGAGCCACGGATGGAGGACTCGAAGGCACCCGTCTCAGTAGCACAGGGCGTCAGGGACATGGAAACATCCGTATGAATGCTTACGTAAGCTATGGCGCTCTTGGCCGTCGTGGAGCACGCCTCCTGGATCACTTCGCCGTGCGTTGCCCCTTCACACAGTCAGCGAGCGGATACGCAGGCCGCGGCCGGCTGGGCCGGTCGCGTCTGTGCAGACCAGGCAAGTCGATATTCATGACGCGGCCAGCCTTAGACAGGGCCCGATACACATGTATCCAGATATCTCTGCGGCGCCGAGCCCTTTGCTATGGCCATGCTTGCCAGGCGTCCACATACGTGGCCAGGCGCGTAGCCGCCGGATGTTCCACACGTGAGTCCTGCCAGAGGTGCTTCCAGTGCCCTGGTCGATGTTCCTGGCATGGGGAGGACATGTGCGGAGGAGGCACAGCGAGGCGGGCGGAGGCCTGGCCCCATCGCCAGGCGGCCCGTCACCCCTGCCAGGGCTGTGCACGCCCGTGGACTTCCTGGCAGCCACGCAGGAGCCGGCGGCGTCAGCTCCCCCACCGCTCCCTCGTCCCCTCCCATAGGCCACACGCAAGAGTGACCCTTCGCCGGAGTGACCTTTTGGTGCGCGGCTTTGGGGGGTCGCTGGCGGGGGGGGGGGGGGGGGGCAAACCCAGGCGGGTAGGCGGCCGTTACGGTCGCGCCGCATGCAACGGTCGGCGAGCCGCGCGCCATAGGTCATCGTGCAGCCGATGCTGGCCTCTCCCGCTTCCTCTTCTCTTGCTTCCCCCCCCTCCCCTGCACTAGCGGACGGAGAGTGGCACATGGTATAAGATGATTGTTTCCGCCATCGGGGAGGCTTCTCCCAGGCTGCCAGAAAGTTCATACCCCGACGCGCCACCGTAGGGGTATACAAACTTTTTAGTCGCCCTGGGATAGGCGTCCGCTGACGGAGAAGTGAATGTCATACAGCTGTTCGTTGGCTGCGGTGGGGGCGTCGGTCAAGGAAAGTGCCTGGTGATGATGAGAGCGGAAGTGATACCCATTGCCAAGCCTCAATTGGAGTTCCACCGTCTTTCACACCATGGGTTTCTTGTCGATCCAATGTTCTTTATCCAGTGACCTCACGTCATGCTGGTCCTCTCACCTCGCGCGACGCTCTCCCCTCGAGCCGTTCCTCTCCCCAAGGCCGGCTTTTCTTCCTCGGTGGATTTTTGACGGTCCCCTGGGGCCGGGCGAGTGGTGCCCCCATGGGAAACTGGCGGCAAAGGTCCGCATTGAAATGCCCAATGTTCTGGAGGTCAAGGGTTGTGGGTCGCGGGCGCAGCAGATATCCGTGCCTATACGACCACTCTTCGGGTGATGAGAGAGAGCGTGATCCACCGCCGGTTTACTGTGGAAAATTGCCCCCCTCTTCGGAACCCGGGGGTCCCCCCCCCTCCCTCCGAAAATCCCCCCCCCCCCTCCCCCTTCCCCGGCAAAACCCCCCCTCCCCTAACCCTCCCCCCCCTCTCCCCTCGAAAACCGGGGAGGTCACTACCGGTTCGAACCCCCCCCCCTCGAAAACCGGAGGGGGGGTCACTACCGGTTCGAACCCCTCCCCACCCACCCCACTCACCGCCAGCAAACGACTCCCGGTCCCTACCACCGTCCGCGCCACATCCCCCACTGTTGTTCCCAGCACCACTGTCCTCACCACCACTGTCCCCACTGGTTCCACCACCGTCCCTACTGTCCCCACCAGTGCTCCCACCACTGTCGCACTGTCCCCACTGTCCCCACCACTGTTCTCACCACGGTTCCACTCTCCCCACTTTCTCCACGGCCCCAATCATTGCCCGACTATCCCCACTGTCCCCACTGTCCCACTGACTCCTCCGCTGTCCCACTGAGCTGTCCCACTGTTCCCACCACTGTCCCCACTGTTCCCACCCCTGTCCCCACTGTACATCTGTCCCATTGTCCCACCGCCGTCCTCGCCACCGCCTTCACCACTGTCCCCACCACCACTGTACCCTCCACTGTCCCACTGTTTCCACCTCCCACTGTCCCCACACCACTGTCCCCACCACCACCGTCCCCACCACTGTCCCCTGTCCACTGTTCCCACCATTGTCCTCACCACTGTCCCCACCACTACAGTCCCCACCACTGCCCCACTGTCCCCACCACTGTCCCGCTGTCCCCTCACCACTGTCACCACCACCACCGTCCCCACCACTGTCCGCACCCCCCCTCGGTTTTCGAGGGGGGGGGGGGTCGAACCAGTAGTGACCCCTCCCGGTTTTCGAGGGGGGGGGGGTTCGAACCGGTAGTGACCCCCCCCCTTTTCATGATGAACTGGGGGGGGGGGTGGGGTTCGAACCGGTAGTGACCCCCCCGGTTTTCCGGAGGGGGGGGGGGAGGGGTTCGAACCGGTAGTGACCCCCCCCCGTTTTCCGCCAGCAGCGGTAGAACACGCTCTTTCGGTGATGAGGATGTTCGGCAGGGGAAGGAACCAACGTCTTAATCAACCGATCTCACGATCTATCTCACGATCGATCTCACTATCGATCTCACTATCGCCCTCACCTCCGTATCCGCGGCCTCGCGAGCCCGCCGCGACCCCGCGGATGCGGGGCGTTTTCTCGCGGATGCCCCTCGCGGAGCGTATCCGTGAGACCGCGTATCCTCGGGATCGCGCCACGGAATCCAGACCGCGAGGGCGCGGATACGGATACGTCCGCCGCTCGTGAGGGCCGCCTCGCCGTCGCCGTCCCTCCCCCCGGGGTCGGGGTGCGAGGATCGACCGAGGATCGAGCGAGCGAGGATCAAGGATCGAAGGAGGTCAGAGGATCCATCGGTTGCTGATTGAGGACCAAAACATCGAGGATCGATCTAGGCTCGAGCATCGACCGATGGCATCCTGCCTCTCTCCTCCCTACGCCTGTCGGGCACACCCGAGACTGCCTGCCGCCGCTCTGCTGCCCCACCCCCCTCCCGAGAGCGCCCGCGCCGGCCGGCGGGCGGCGGCCGCGGGCGCGCCCGCGGGGGCGCCGACCGCCGCCATGTCGGGCAGCAAGGGGGCCGGCGGCGCGGGGAGCAAGCAGGCGCGCCGGCTGGGAGGAGGACGAGGAGGGACACAAAGTCCCCCCCCCCATCCACTGGCCACCCTGCCGTCGGTCCGCCCTTGCTGCTCTCGGCTGACTCGCCACCTTGTCGCTCGCCTCCGCCCTTGCGTGCCCTTCTCGGGCGTGCGTACCCGCCGCGCCGCGGCTGTCCAGCCGTGGGGTCGGCAAACAGGCGCCGTCCCAGGGCTGGGAGGAGGGAGGGCCGAGAGGGTGGGGGAGGAGAGGGGCGGGTGGGGGAGGAGAGGGGCGAGTGCGGGAGGGGGGGAGCAAGGGAGGGGGGTGGAGGGAGGGAGGAAGGCAGGGAGGGAGAGGAGGAGGGGAGGGAGAGGAGGGAGAGGGGTGGGGAGGGGGAGGGGGAGGGGACGGGGACGGGCGAATGGGGCAGGGGGGGGAGGGAGGGATGTGGGGAGAGAGGGAGGGAGGGAGGGAGGAGAAGAGGGATGGGGAGGGATTGGATTGGTGTGTTCCCATTGGGCTGGCGGCAGAAGCGTCGGAAACACTTTTTGTTTGCAGGGAGCCGCGACCAGGGGAAGGGGAGCGGAGGGGGAGTGAAGGGATGACGAGGGGGAGGGAGGGAGGGAGGGAGGGAGGGAGGGAGGGAGGTGGGCGAGGAGGGAGGGAAAATAGGCAAAGCACCTCCCTGTAGTAGTTGACTGGTGGAGGCTGGTGCAGTTGGGTTAGTAGCGGACTGATGTACCACTGGGCCCAGGAGGAGGAGGAGGAGGAGGAGGAGGAGGAGGAGGAGGAGGAGGAGGAGGGAGCACGAGTAGGAGAAGGAGGTTCAGCAGAGATTTGCGATCGAGAGGTGCCCTGGGGGCCCCTCGGACTGGACAGGCTGTGGACCGCGCTCCGACGCACAGGCCGGCCACGTCAGAACCTCAGGGGGGCAAGAGGTCATGATGATGATGCCTTTCGGGATGTCCTTTGCAGGATGTCCCATGTTTTCTGCTGCTCCGCGCGCCGCCCCCTCGCGGTCTCGCCGCGCGAGTGCGCCCTCTTTTCCCCCCCTCCTGACTCAGCGCCCGCCTCTCGTCTTCTCCCCTACTCTGGCATGCGGCACACTTTGCAACACCGGAGCCCAGGTTGCGTGGACTCGCGTGCAGTCTGCCTCTGCCAGGCTGCGACGCCAAGAAAACGGAGGGCCGCTGGATACTCTTGGAAGTCTTGGGACGCTCTCTGAGCCAATCTTATCATGCCATCGTTCTCGCCCGAGGACCTTTCCCCTTCTCGCTCGAGCTGATTTCAGCACCTCAGCTAACAAGGAACGAAACGGGGACTGTGGTGCCCCCGCACTCCCCTGCGAATGCGCGCCCACACTTCTTGCACTGCCTGCGCGTCTTTGGTGGTCCCCATCGCTGTAGCTGATGCTGCTTGGCTCTTTCCCTTTTTGCTATGTCGCGCATGGGGTGCCCCCGCACTGTCTGCAATCTCCTTCTCGCAAATTTCGCACGAGTTGGTCTCAGCATAAAGCAAGGAGGAGGAGGAGGAGGAGGAGGACGCTGACGAGGGGGGAGGAGGAGGGAGGAGGACGAGTGGGATGACGCGGACGAGGACCCTCTCACGTTGTCTCTCCCTCTGCCTCTCTTCTGTCAGTTTTGATTCCAGCGTGTTTTATTTGTCATTGCTTGACTTGGAGTTATTACTGTGTGATGCAAGGAGGAGAAGGACGAGGGGGAGGATTAAGGAGGATGGGGAGCTGGAGGATGATGGAGGACGACGAGGACGAGGACGAGGACCCTCTCTCCCTCCTCTCCCTCTCTAGAGTCTGCTTAAATGTAACCTTGCTCCGCTGGTGGGTACTCGACTTGACCTTTGGTGCGATGCGATGAGGAGGAGAAGGAGGAGGAGGAGGAGAAGGATGATGATGATGATGATGATGATGATGATGATGATGATGAGGAGGAGGAGGAGGAGGAGGAGGAGGAGTTGGAGGAGGAGGAGGAGGAGTTGGAGGAGGAGGAGGAGGAGGAGGAGGAGGAGAAGGACCAGGACCAGGACCAGGCCCAGGACCAGAACGAGGACGAGCAAGGAGGCGAGGACGAGGGACGAGGCAAGATCGAGGGTGTCGACGGGAAGAGACGGAGGAGGATGAGTAAGAGGAGTAAGGCGACGACAAGGAGCAGGAGTGGAAGGAGGGGAGTGGAAGGAGGAGGGTTTGGGTCCGGGGGCCGTTTTTGAGCGGATTGTGGTCGTCCTGGTTGTCGTCGTCGACGCCGCCCGAGCCTCCATGAGGTTATCGGAATTCCTCGCAGGCTTCCAGGAGGTTACCCAAGTTTTGCAAATAGTTCCGAATGTTCTCGGAGGCGTGTCGGAGGATTCTGGGGGCCCTGAAATTTCGGGGCTTCTCAGAGGTGATGGGAGCAGGCTCGAGCAGTAGGAGGAGCATGGCTTAGCTTTTTGCGGGCCACCTGGGGGGCTTCGTTGCCACGACTGGATTCGACTGGAGATCTTTGGCATCGCGCGCTGGAGTCCTGTCGTTGGGCCGATCTTGATGTCAGGAGGAGGAGGTTCAGAATATGGCGAGGAGGAGACGGACTCTCAGATCTGGACGATTCTGTAAACAGATCGACGGCCCTCTTTCTCGGGATTTTCGCGGGTTATTCCCGCTTGAAAGATAAGGCAGAAAGATGTGTATCTAGAGCTCAGGTCGCCCTCGATCTATGATCATCGGCCCTCCTCATCCTCCTCCTCGACCCTGGCTCCTTCGATGTGTTCTTCCTCGAGAACCAGACCTGCAGTCCAGGCGGAGCCGTCTCCCCTTCGGAGCCTCTTGACCCGACCAAAAACAAGAGCAACGAAAAGGAGAGGGTGCGATCACTTGAAACAAGGGGCCCAGCGTATAAATTGAGGCGATCCTCTACAGTCGGCCCTGATTGGCATGTCGACCACGCCAAATCGAGGGTACCCTTGTGTCCTGTCTATCCGGGCCTATTCAACCCGCATGTCCTTTGGTGCTCTGGGGCCACGTTCCCGTCAGAAGTGTCTTGGGTCTTTTCGGTTGTCCTCTACACACAGTCCGACTCTATCCTATTCGTGCTGCAGAAACCTCGGAGGTCGATAGAACCCAATTCTGCCAAGTCGATGCCCCTCATTTCGGTTCTCGGGAGTGCGTCGCGGCTGCGACCTTCCCTGGCCTGACCCCGCCGGGTCTTGTGCCAGGCCGCTCTCACGGAAGGATGTTCTGGCGTGCATGTCCGCCGTCAAATATCGCGTATGTCGATCCTCGATCTTCGATCCTCTCCATCGCCGCGCGGCACAGACTGCCGAGAGCCAGCGTCGCCAGAGCCAGGCCCCCCGCACACGATTCCGAAACCTCGGGTCCCTCCCCAGAGATCCGATGCATGTGTGTGTTTTTGTTCAGAGCGGGGTCCCGCAGGTCCCGACCTCCCCAGGACCGGTTCTGCGTCGCGTTTCAAACGTCGGCGGTTTGGGTTTTTGTTTACGCTCGTCTCCTGTACCTCGATCCCCTTCGTTCAAGCAGTGGCGAGGTGTCCTGGTGCGCTAATTTGCCCACCAGAGGATGTTCTAAGTTCCCTTCGTGGTTTGCACGAAATGTTCTTAGAACATATCTTGCCGAGACATTATTGTTTAAATGCGTCGGTTGTTCGAGTCCAAGAACAGTGGTATCGTTATTGTGGCGTCTCCGGTTCTGAGAACATGTCGTAGTAGGCCCACGGGCCATAGGAATGCCGGGACGGTCGGTCTCTGCTCGATTCGTGGTGCTGCCCCGAAGAAGCGGGGCGCTCGCAGGCGACCGATCTCCTGGACGCGGCCTTCGGCTCCGACGACGGCGAGGCGTCGAAGCGGGTGCCCCCCGAGCAGGCGGCCGCCCCCGCCCCGGCGCCGCGGGCTCGGCGGCCAGCGCCCCATCAGAGCTGCGGCACGGTCCAGCTGGACGATCGGAGCTCGTGGATGTTCATCAGAGCCCCGAATCATCAGGGTTAACTCGGGTCAGGGATAACTCGGGTTCGTTTTTCGGGAATCCAAACCCGAGTTACCCCGGACCCGAGTTACCCCGGATAACTCGGGCGTCCAGAGCCCCGAATCATCAGGGGTAACTCGGGTCAGGGATAACTCGGGTTCCTTTTTCGGGAATCCAAACCCGAGTTACCCCGGACCCGAGTTACCCCGGATAACTCGGGCGCCCAAGTTCAGGGCCCCCGCAGCCACCTAGACGGGCTAACGGTGTTCTACGCAACGGCGTGGTAGGTTTCTGCATATTGCAGGTGGGGCTGATCCGTGGCTGGACCAACCGTAGTTCGGAAAGCGTGGTTCGCGCTTTCCTGCAATTCATTGGGTCGTTTTCTTTCGCTGGTTTTGCGTAACCGTGCTTTTTTCATAACCGGGGTAAGTCTTTAACGTTGTCGCCCCCCCCCCCCCTTAGCTCTCAGCTTTCGGCTGGCAATTAAGCTCGTCCTTCCCATCATCATCCTTCTCCTCATCATCCTCGGCTCGTGCGGCCAATGTCGTGGCCTTTCCCTGGGGCGAGACGGTGACCAATACAGTTGGCTCGCCCCTTGCGCTAAGCGTCTTTCGACATTGAGGCACATCAATACTCTTTGTCCGGGGTTGACGCGCAGCATTGCCCATTGGAATATCGTGGGTTCTTATACCTTACTGGGCCATTATACCGCCCTTTTGGGCGCATGTTGAAACTAAGAGTTTCGGCTCATGAGATCCTGCGCGCTGCCCCTTGCAATCCGTACTTGTCTGACCTCCTGGTTTCCCTGGCGCAGGTAGGGTGTCCTGTCGAGGCTGGTAGGCTGTGAAGGGAGGCTCGTGCTGCCCAGTGCGCGTGTGCTGTCTCTTCCCCTGCGTTCTTTGAGATAAGGGACCTTCTTGCCGACATGGCCGATGGTTGATATTGGTTTTTTTCGTATCGGAATAGTGCCTCGCTCCAGGCCTCACTTGTCCACCATGTGAATATACTACTTACACTGCGTTAGCGTGTGTTCCTGGTGCCGCTGCGTCCCATGAGAGGGGGCTTCAGCGTGCCACAACCAAGGCTCTGAAGGAGGTCGAAGGCATCTATGCCTCTGTGACAATACGTAGGCGCATTCGTAAATGTATGCCGTGCTCGGACAATATGTTGATGTGCTTGGTTTCCTCATTGGCTTCCATCGCCAAGCAAGTCCCTCCGTTCGTGCTTGCTTCGACTCTGCGCACCGTGGTCAACGGATGGTGTTGCTCTGGGCGATTCCCTGACCGTATTCATCCCTGCATTTTCTGTGGGTCCCCCAAGCATGAGAACATTATATGGAAAGCCGCTCTGCTTGCCAGTACGTTGTTCCGTTGCTCCCCCGTCGTCATCCTCTTCGTTTCTTGTCTTGGTCTTGCTCGTCGCTGCGTTGCCTGCTTCTTCCCGCTCCTGGTCCCTCAGCTTGTGTGAGTCGCTTTGTTCTACGACCTCTCGGCCACGTCTTACCATACAGGCATAGAGGCGGCCTCCGAGGGGACAGACTCCAATCATCTGCTCGGGCCCGATTGTCCTAGCTCCTGCGTCGGATGCCCTCGCTGGCCGATTGTATATGATAATATGTTCAGGCTTCCAGGTGCAAGAACGCTTTTGTCAAGTAGGCGCCTGGTTCTAAGTTGACAAGTCGGCGCCTGGTCGGGATACGCAAATCGATGCCGCGTCTCGGCTTGCAAGTAGGAGCCGAGTGCAGAAAGTGAGGGCGCATTCAGTGTCCTTGTCGGGTGGGCGTTGCGTTCTAAGGTGTGAAGTAGACGCCCAGTCTGGCTCAGCAAGTAGGTGCTGCGCTTCGATTTCCATGGTGGCGCCTCCAGGGCCGCCGCTGCCTTCCTCTGCTCCTCATCGCTGTCTCGGGCGCCGTGTGGGAAAGCCCCCATGAGGGGCGCGGATGTCTTGCCCCATGGACGAGCCTGTTCTAGTTCGTTCGTGCTCTTGTCTGCCTTCCTCTCTTGGCAATGGCGATCTTCTTCTTCATCATCATCAGCAGCATCATCACCATCACCACCACCATCACCACCATCATCAGCTCCCAGATCACCATCGTCATCAACATTAACAACAACATCAACATCGTCATCATCATCATCACCATCATGTTACGCATCATCATCGTCGTCGTTATCATCATCATCATCATCATCATCATCATCATCATCATCATCATCATCATCATCACCATCATCATCGTCATCATCACCACCATCATCATCATCATCATCATCATCGTCATCGTCATCGTCATCGTCATCATCATCATCATCATCATCATCATCATCATCATCATCATCATCATCATCATCGTCGTCATCATCATCATCATCATCATCATCATCAGGGGTCTCCATCTCGCCCGATCAACAGCGTTTGCCGCCGCAGGGGATAATTATCTCCCCAGTAGTTTCAGGGTCAGAGATCGATCGCGATGATTTGAAATGTGGGAACGCGTGGTTCGTGATTAGTTGGTTTACGCCGCACCGCCGACCCCTTGGTGGGAGTCGCTGCTGCGGCTTCTGGGTGCTGCGTGACTTATGCCGGTATTGATTTCGAAGACGCCTACGGCGAATCACCGCCGCCCCCTGCCTTTGTGGAAGCGCTTATGTGGCCGAACGTTGAGGCCAGACCTGCCAAGCTATCGGCCCATGTGTTCCCCGAATCGGTTTGGAAAGCCTCTGGGGAACACGTGGGCCTCCTCAAGGTCATCTTGGCCGCCTGGAGGCCATTTTGACCCTTTCGGGCTTTCTTGGAGGACGTCTTGGAGGGCTCGTGGGCCGTCTTGGAGGCCATCTTGAGCGTCTTGGAGGCCTCTTGGGCCGTCTTGGGGGCCGCTTGGGGCCGTCTTGGGCCTCTTGGGCGATCTTCGGGGGCACTTGGGCCGTTCCGTCGGAAGGCCGACAAAAAAGCAAATGCCACAATCCTTCCAAAACTCGTGGGACATCAATGAGTTTCGCCTCTTGGAGGCCTCATGGGTCGTCTTGGGCCACCTTAGTGCCATCTTCGACAATCTTGGTGGGCCCCTGGCCCGTCCACTTTAAACGGAGAAGGTTAAAGGCGAGGTATAAATCGAGCATGTACCGCTGCCGTGCCTGGCTCAAGCCGGGCCCGGCCAAATATATGACTGTGCCTCACTGAGGCGCACGACTTGCATCAGAGATCGGAAAATACCTTTTCCATTGACGATGCCCATCCTATCCTTTACTCCAGATCCCATGCTTCGTCTCGCTCTCTTGCTCATGCGATATGAGCCAAAGCCTGGGATATGGGAGCGCCTAAGGCGGAACACATACCTAAGCTTACCAGCTTGTTTTCGACTTGGTAGCGGAGCTGGCTACACTCTCGTGTGGCTGGCTCTCGCTCTGATTCCTGTAATCCACGGCACAACTTGGTGGACTACTACTACGGTGGAATACCATGTTGCGCCGGCTCTGCGAGGAGCGGAGCCAGTCCGCGATCGAGCTAGCGGGGCAACCCGCGAACTCGAGACGCTCTCTCCTACTTCACTGCGCTACTTCACTCCCGACTTCCACCAGATGCCAATCGGCAACTCGATCGAGAACGTGGTCACCCTGCGGGGCTACCCGCAGCGGGGCCACCTGCATCCCGTGCCAGTCAGGCGCCTCACGGCTACTACGCCAGAGCCTGACAAACCACAGCCTAAACCAATCACCGAAGCCGAAATGCACATGCATTGGATCAAGATAACTATATTCGGCATTCTGTGGGTAATAATGGGATGTGCTGTGGGATACATGCGGCAGGGGATGGACGACACGCGTACTACTGGCCCTTCATGGGACCCTGCCGGTACTACGCCTTTTCGCGAATACGTTCGCGAAGTACATGCATGGTTAAACGTAACGAGTGGCAATATGACACCACCACAACAAGCTGCAGCACTACAACGAGGCCTTCAAGGTCTGGCTCGTCGTATCGCCATGCAGGTCCCCTCCCAGATCATCAATTATGGTGTAACTGTCAATGGACAGCCAACGGATGCAGTAACATATATACTGTACTTACTGAGCACCAAATTTGAAAATCTGGAAGATGAGCGCCAGCTCAACTCTGGCACTGCCCTTATCGACTTCCGCGTCGAAAGGGGCGAGCGAATCGACTCAGTATTAGCTCGATTCGAGATGGCCCGTGACGAGGCTAACTCTGTTGGCTTTGTCATCCCCAACTTTCAGATCCTAACGCTGATTCTCTTCAGAGCGTTAGGCGTTGGCGCGTCACGAGCCCAACACCTGCTTGAGCCCTTCAATCATCAGATGCCCCGAACACAAGCAGACTATGACAGGCTGCTGACCAGGATGAGGAACTACGGACATGTTGCCGAGCGCTCTCCTGGCAACATAGCGGGTATCTTCACAGGGCACCACTCACATGCAGGTGTCTACGCCACGACTGCGGGGTCACCCGCTGGTCCTGGCGAGCCAAATCCCTGGGCTGACCCAGCCGATATGCCCAACGAGGCCACTGCCCTTTTAGGGCAGACTGGCCAGGCATCGGCAGAGGCAGCTGAGGCGAACGCCTGGTCGAACTACTCGCCAGGCGCCGCCTACACTGCAAGCCCGCCCTCGGGCACAACCCTCTGGGGCCAAGCGGAGTCATCCGCTCAAGGGTCTCAGCCACCCTCACCGTTTGAATCTGGCACTGACACGGATACCTCATCTGACGATGAGCACAATGGCATAGTCTCTGCTGGTAATGACTACCCAGCGGATGACACTCACCTCTCTGAACAACAAAGAGCGGAAGCCGCCTTTATGGCTTATCGCAAATCAAAACGCCGTTGGAGGCGCTTTATGAAGAAACCAGTCAGAAAGGTGAGACGTGCAGTACGCCGACATTTCAAACGATTTGGAAAGGGTC